CCAAATCACCGGCACCGCCCCCGGCGACAGCCAGCGCTGCACTCCAGCCCGTGCCCTGCCCCCGTAGCCAGCAGCGCTGCCCCCTGTGCCGTTTCCCGGTGACCACCAGTGCCCTCCCGCGTGCTGTACCCCCGGTAAGCACCAGTGCCGACTGCCTCCATGCAGTCTTCCCTCACGCAGTGGGTTCATGCGTCTTTCGTTACACAACGACCCTCCTCGCTTCCAATGTCCTGGTGTGGCACTTCCCACGCACCCATGCGCTCTTTCACAAGCCCATGGCGCCTGCCCTGCGCGTTTGCACTGAGGCTGCACGTCCCATGGCAGCACAACGCTTTCTTGGTGTCTTGCAGGGGCTAGCTGCACACTCTGTCCTGCTGTGGTGGCGTTGGTGTGTGGAGAGTGGCTGGGCACTGTGCAAAAGGATGGTGTCAGTCTCCAGGACCCTGGAGGGCTTCTGTGCTGGGCAGACCTCAGTCTGGGCCAGCACTGGCTGTCTCCCAGCTGTGCACACAGCAGGACACTTCACGGGAGTGCGCGTGGCCTTCCGGCACAGCCCCTGCCCATGCTGCTGCACACAGCTGTGACAGACTGAGAGGACCCTCAGCCACCTTCCTGTCCTGCAAAGGGTTCTCGTGTATCTCTGGGCTGTGCTGCAGAAGGCTCCTGGAAGGCATGTGGGAGAAACCTGTCTCATCCTTCTGGGATTTCATTGCTTCACGATGTGGACACTGCAACATTGAGCCATTTGGCACAGGCGTAGGTGGTGCTGGCCAAAGCCTTGACCCACAGAGCTGTGGATGCAGAGTGGTCGCCTACCCCAGCCTGATCCTTTCAGTGCAGCTCGGATGGTCCTTGCTCATGTGTGTTGCTGTCAATTAACGAGTTCATCCTTGCAAAATTCACCTGACCGTGGCCACCACAGGGGCTTGTCTGGGCCTTCGGCAAGAGCTGGCCCCAGCAGAGCTCTGCTCGCTCCCCAAGGGTTGTGCCTGGGGGCAGGGTTCTTGCTGGGCATGCGTGGAAGAAAGCTGCAGTTGGAGATGCTCCTGCATTATGGCACCTGAATGTTTGGCAATGGGGACAGCTACACCAGGACAGCCTCTCTTCTGCCCCATTGTGCTACAGACCTACGTCCAACCATGGGCTCTTGCTCACCTGCTAGAGAAGTCTGAATGGAGGCAGTGACACTTTGAAGCATTGCTGAGAGCAATCTTTATTAATTTGTGGGATGCTATCCGGGAGGTAACTCCATCCTCATTGTAGTCTAGGGTGTTGCTCCCTCAGGCTTAGGCGCAGTGCTTTCTGCAGGGCCAGCTATGCTGCATTGCAGTCCACAGGCAGTGGTTAACTGTAAATGTCTATCTTCAGGTGCCCCTTCTTGCCTTCAGTCTGACCAAACAGGTGTTGTGTGGAGCTGCAGGATGTTGGGCATGATGTGTTTTACTTGTGGGACCTTCCCTGCCCTTTAGCCCTCTGCCGCTGGGGGCAAACTGGAGAAGCAGACAGGTATGCAGAGCCACTGGGGCACTG